TATTTGTTTTTTAAATGTTTTAAAGTTGTCTAAAAAAATTTTTTTAAAAATTTTTTAATTTTTAAAAAAGTTTTTTTTTATAAAAAAATATATATATAAATTTAAATATACAATATAATAATATAATAATTTGTAAATAATAATTAGATTTGTTATATACAGTATATATAAAATAATATCAAATAATTCGAAAAATATTTTATTATAAAATATTAAATTTAGATATATCTTATTTATAATTTTAAACCGATATTAAAATAATATTAAAATAATAAATTTAATATTTGAATTATAATCTATTTTATATAACTTATAGTAAATTCAATATTAACTTAATATTAAAATAATACTATTAGAAATTGTAATAATTAATTACAGATAATAACTTCAAAATATATTTCAAAAATAAGTATATTAGAATAAGCAATTTTATTTATTTTTAAAATTATATCTAGAAATAATTTTATTAAGACATATATTTAAGTATTATAGTTAAAAATTTGTATATAAAATAGTTAATCTATTATATATTATGTATTAAAATTAAATAAACTTTATAAATACTTATTTGATTATAAAATATATATATATTATTAGAAATATTTATTACACTTTAAATTGATTTGTGGGTTTATAGCACAGTGGTTAGTGTTTCGCAGGTCAGATCATAAGATAATAGTTCAAATTCTCTAGGGGACTAATGTGAAACCTTTGAAAAAACCAAAGAAGAAAGAATCTGTATCTTTTGATTACTATTATAAGATATCAAGTTCAATTCCAGGTAAAGGCAATTGAACCATTTCAATATGATATCTGGCACCATAATCTAATATGTGCTGTTTTTTATAAGAAACCAATTCATATATTGATTTAACAGGTATTAGGATTGTAATATCAAAAAAGGTGTAGTGATGTAATAATTATCCAGCAGTGTTATAATAATCATTGTCAAGTTTGATATTTTTCTTATTTCTTATGCATGAAGTATACTTCCTTATCCTTTAGTCTATAAGACTATAAAAGAAAATCTGATTTTTCAAGAGATCAAGTTAGAGCTACAAAGACTTCTTATTAGATATGACTAGTCCACAGCTGATCATATTAGAATATGATTCTTCAAGTTTTCATTTATCAGATAATGGATGGGATTAGAAGATATAAATCCTAACACATTAGCACTCTACCTATGTGATCAGGATTCCAGTGCTGGTAATATAGGAAGAATGGAAGGTAATAAATCAACTGATAGATAAGGTTAATCTGAATCTTAGGTAGTTCTACTTGAGAATTAGTGGTGAAAAATTTGTATAATACAAATTTGTACATACTGCACAAGAAAACCTTGTATAGGAAAAAAAATTTATTATACTTGAAATGTAAAAATATTTTTATTTAAAAAAAGTACTATAATTATCTTTAAAATTTATATGTAGTTTCCAATTATATTTAAAATCAAATTATTCTATTGTTTATATAGATATTATTAAAATATTATATTTTGCAGAAATATCACAAAGTTTCAATTATTATTTGTAAAAAATCTTTGCTTAGTACTGTTTGACTCTGGTAGTTCACATAAAGATGTTTCTAAAATTATTAGATGATATATTAATGATGTGAAAAATGCTTCTGTAATTATTAATAGATATCTCTGTAAAGGAAAATTCATTGTATTTGACTGAGGCCAGAAAATAATTCACTTGCGATTAGATGAATATTCGATACTCCATTAGATCTACAATATTCAACTATAGATAAAAAACAATGAAAAAGTTATCATTAAGTGATGTATATACAGTATAATTGCTAAAAAACATGGTAAACTTTGTCTTTCAACTAGATATATTAGAAAACATGAATGGATGGTGAGTTTTAATGATATAAAAAATGATACCCATATTGCGCGGGTAACAGGCCTCTTACAATGGAGAACGTAAGGCAATTAGCTCGTAGTAGAAATGGAACATATATTTCTACTGAATACATTAATTCCAATACTCCAATGTGATGCTAATGTGCAAATGGTCATGAATGGACTACATTTCCTCATAATATCAAAGATGGCAAGACGTGATACCCATATTGCACAAACACGATCAGTCATACAATTGAAAATGCTAAGCAAGTTGCTTTTAGTAAGAATGGAGAATGCCTTTCTGAAATGTATAATAATAGTTTTTCACCTTTGTCATGGCGTTGTTCTGAAGTGCATGAGTGGAATGCATCTTTTAACAATGTGAAAATAATGAGACGTGCGTCCATATTGCGCAACTAATAGGCCTTGTATACTTGAAGATGCCAAACAATTGGTTTATAATAGAAAGGAGGCTTGTCTTTCTGAATATTATATTAATAATCGTTTCAGCTTTATTATGGATGTGTGATAAAAGCATAGATGGTTTGCTACTTTTGATAATGTTAAACGTTCAAACTCGCAGTGTTAAATATAAAAGAGAAAGATTATGTTGTGAAATTTTAACAAATATCTTGACTCTCCTTCATTAATCTGCAGGCCTTATTTCTCAAAGACACAAGAATATCCAAATGGAATAGAACTCGGTATTTCCTATTATGAATATGGCTTTGCTGTCGAAGTATAAGGCGTACAACATAAAAAATATTATGAATTCTTTCATAGAGGTGACCCGAATAATTTCATCAAACAGCAAACACGGGATCAACTCAAGAAAGAATTATGCGAAGAGAATCAGATTGCCTTGAGGTACGAAGATCCATATATAGTTATTCCAGATTATCTTCATGAATCAGGTCTTATTGAACAAACTTAAAACTTTAAATGCTTTTGCGATTCATCATTATTTTTCGACTATAATCTTATTCATGTGGAATTACGTGAAAAATTTAATAAAAATTCCCCAGACACACACATCATATACTGAACATGCTGAAAATTATGAGCTAAATATGGGCAACCAAACAAATTAAGCAAATGATGTTTCTATACTAATGCCTGCGGACCACATCGGTTTCTCACTATCAAAAATTTGGATTAACTGTCGATGGACATGTCCACTACAGAGACTCTCACAATGACTTAATTCACGTGGTATGTGTAACTGATTCATCGCGTGATGCAATAAATTTACGTACACGTCGAGCATACTCTTCACATAACTTGAGAAAGCCGAATTTTACAAAAAAATGGTTTCCAGTACAAAGTAAGCTGACTGATTATAACATACCTGTTCTCTTTCTTGCCCTAATACACCTTTTTATTTAAAGCGATTTTTGGAAAAGGGCAGAGAAACAGAAAAAACAGGAAAAATACAGTCCAAAAGAAAAAACAAGAACTACTAAGAAAGATAAGACTCTAGATATCGAAGCGCAGATCGATGTTGCGTATCAAGACTGGTGCGATAAATTTGAAGAAGATGCAGATGAAGCAGATTATTTTTGTACAGCCATACCAAATCCAGTACCCCTCGAAGGTATTGTTTTTATCACTAAATATTCTATAAAACAAAATTTTTATATGTTTAAACTTATCACTTTATATTTTCAGGTAAACTTCTGTTGGAACCTGTAAAAGAGCTGTCAAAAAAATCACCTAATCATTGGAATGATATGGATCTTATGCCGATTATTAAGCTCTCGCCGGACGTCCTTGGATTGAAGAGGAGAAAACTATGATGGAGCTTGCATGTTTAATATGATCATCCCTGACTTTGATGCATATTTGAACAAACACGATAAAATTCGCGGGTTGGTAGATCCTACTTATGTAGTTGCCGGCGTTGGTGGGGGAGTAATTCCCAATTTCGGTATTGATAAATACCCTCCAGTGGGTCCACATCCTCAACTAGTCAATTTCGCAAATACAACTTATGCGTGGGTCTTTAATGGTCGTGACCGGATGGCCCAAGCCAAACATTTAGTCGGGTGGCTCCAGTGCGCAGTTCCTGGCCTTAGCTTATTTGTTTTTAATACCTGATTATTTTAGTACATGTTTTTATTTTTTCCTCGATAGCATTTGATTTGGAGATCCTCTTTCATAACTATCTTATTACTTGCTAACTTATAAATGCATCACACCAAAATAGGTCATTCCTAAAATACAAAGTGCAATAGAAAGTAAAATGTTAATACATTAAAATAAATTATAAAATATGAAATCAACCATCCGCTCTTAAATTATTCCTATAATTAGTAAATTGATAAAAATATCATAACTTTCCTATTATTATTCGTGAAAATATCACCCATTTAGTGATGTTTAATGGGGCAGTAGCTATCAAGATGCGTCTAATATAGTCGGTCGTTATATCAATGATATAAAAAATGCATCAATGGTTATTAATAGTTAACTTTGAAAAAATGAATTTATTGTACTTGATCTTACTAGGTCAGAAGGTTATCCTTTAGCAATTCGTTAATATTCGATACTCCATTAAATTTGCAGAAGAAAATAGAATTGCGACAAATGAATAAAAAATGAACTAAGCCCACAAATTCTAGATTTTATTTCACAGAAAAAAGATAAAACGTCCACAATTAGATACATACAGTATATATATGTATGCACACTTTTATAGATAATATACATCTGGTATGCATTTTCCAGAAACCATCACATTCCGAAAGGGGATACATCGATAGTGCACTTCAAGGTCCCCAAGAAATTTGGCTTATAGAAGTGGGAGACGATACCCAAGCAGTATTCCAATTTGTTATGGAAGATAGCCGTACATTTAAAACATGGAAAAAGCATGCAGAAATTATAAACGCATGCAAACAATTGGTTAATGATACAATAGATTGGCAATTTCAGGAAGGAATAATCATTGAGGAAAAGAAATCGATTCTTTCGGATTCTCTCAAAGTAGTTGGTTTAGCAGAACAGGTATTTGGTGCAAACCATGTTGGAAGTCGACTTGCCAATAAAATCAGTGAATGGCGTCCAATATCTGGAAAAATTATTGACATGAAATCGTGCCATCTAGCAAGTATGCGAGGTCAAGGAGAATGTACTTTATGATTTAATCAATTTGGACATCCACCTTGTTCGAGTTGTAGTAAATGGAAAATTGTCTCAAGATGATATTATTGGATTTGCTCAGGTAATCTCCTTTAGGTTTGCTTCTAATATACATCCAGTAATTCCTGTCTAGAATACTTAACTGTTGGAGAAGCAATTATATCATCTTTTACACGACAGACTAAAAAATGGTTACCAAAAAAAATCGAGATATCAGTTGTGCAATTATAGGTAAGTTTACACAAGGTGGTAAAATTGATGAAAAAACGACTTACACATTGACTTGTAACAGATGAAGGTAATCTCGAATTCTTAAAGATTTTACAGTAGCTGGAACTTTTGCAGGTAGAGAGAAAAGTCCACTTTGATATATACTTACAAACTGTGAAGTGTAACAACCTCAATATACACATTTACGGGCTTCAATGTTAGCATATGCCCATATAAATTTGTTAGAAATGCTTCGAAGATTTTATTAAAATGAAGCAGTAAGAACTGCTGCCCATCAAAAAGAAGCTTTATATAAGATCAAAAAATATACCAGCATTCTTTAAACAAGACAAAATCGGATTCAAATTTATTTATACATTATCCTTCTTGTGCAATGTGTAGTAATCCAGAAGAATTTCTTATATTTCATAGTCAGAACATGTAAGGTTGATTAAAGAATTCCAGAAAACCGAAACATCTTTAATGAAATCCAGATATGAAGAGCATTATTCATTTATTTGCAGATTTTGTTTTGAAAATTGGTATTATAGTCCAAACTCTCATGCCTTTTACAACAAAAAGATTCAGAATTAGAAATGCAAGAAATTTAATCTGGTCAATGGCGTAATAAATGTGAAAAAATAGATGGTTCAAATACAGATATTGTATACTGGCCAAAAGATAGGCATTGGGAATCAGTAAAAAATACTCCCGATAATAATGCTGGCTCGGGTCTGGTAAAACAACACGTGCAATTCAAAGCTTTAAAAATATAAAGATGATTGTATTCACTTATACAAATAAATTAGCTAAAGATTTTAGAGATAAATGAGATATTAGTGCCAGATCTGGCATGGTTTCTTTAAATAGAATAGTGTAGAAAAATGGGCACCTGAAAGAATAGGTGAAATGAAATTTTTACAAGTTGTTATTTGGGATGAAGTATGTATAGTACCAAGACATATTCTCAAAATGTTTATAAATCATTTATTAAAGTAGAATTGTCAAGTAATCTGTTGTGAAGATTATGTCTAACCTTCAATAAATGCCTTATAATTGGTCAAAAAATTGCCAATTATTATAAAAAAGTTAAAACTGATTATCAAGCTAATTATATGAATTCAAAAAAGAAATGCGTTGTAAAAACAATCAAGTATAATTTGAATTATTTTGTAAAGCAATACTATTTATAAAAAAATAAAATTATATTGAAGCTAAATAAATACTATTAGATCAAATCCTATTAGCTTATAAACTTTCTTGAAGACTTGTATCACAAATATGTTTCAAACTTTATTGTACAAATATTCTAATATATCAATTCCTTTAGTATATAGGCCAAGATATAAACATAAACAAAACTGTCTTATAAAATTCCTGATTTATTTGACAAATAATAATTGATAAAAATGATATACTATAGTATAGTAAAGAATAGTATAAATTATCTATTTTTATTTTTTAAATAACAAAATTTTGGTAATTACATAATACAATAATCACATGAATTATTAAAATATAATTGGCTAGTATTTATAATTAACAAGTCAATTACAATTACAATTAATAGCATATTTTTTTTATGATCATTTTTTTACCTATTATTTTTGATTCTGTAAGCTCTTTAGATTCATATATTTAAAAATCTTTGTTTTTTTTATTAATCATTTATATAATTAATATGTATTCTTTTGGTAAAATAAATAAAATAATTAGCTTTAGTGATTTTAAGTGAATCAAATTATTTCAATAATTATTAAGACATATTCTTGTATTATAGTTTCCATTTCAACATTATTATATAAAAAAGTTTTTAAAATGTATAAAAAAGCAATAATCGACTTTTTATAATATCTAATAAATAGTAACAAGTTAACTTTAATGTTTTTGATGAAATGGTTATTATATATATTTGATTTGAATTATATTGTAAGTGACAAAGTATTCTTTCTTATTAAAATTTTAATTTCAATATATATAAGACATAATATTTCCATATTTGTATTTCATGATTCAGATAACTGTATAGAGTTTAAATAAAAATTTAATTTTCATAAGTAAAGACAACACAATATGTTTCAGCTTGAGACTATCTAAAAATATTTGTGAATTTTTAACTGATATTTTGATTATTACAAAAAAAATATTTGTTTATTCTTGTGATAAATTATTAGTATTGTTATATCACTTAACAATAATTATTACAAAACAGATATAAATCAGAAACCTCTTTTAAATAATATTATTATATTAATAGCTAACATAAGTATGCCTATATATTTATATACAAAAACAATCTTACTTATCAAATTCAATTATAGGATAGATATTTGTATATTAAAGAACAAAAAATTGAAAATTTTATTACTATTAAGTACAATAACACCTGTTTGATATAAGTATATTCAATTTTTTTTTTTTTTGCTAAGGCGAGACATTACTCTAGTTTTTATTAATATAGTTAGGTTATTACATATGTTACATATCTAAATTTTTAAGCTATACTAATATTTTATATTAACTAGAATCTACCCATAGGTGTAACTAAGGATCCTAACAATTCTCTTCGATTCTGTATTCGATTCTTAAGTTTATATTAAATTTAATAGGTGGGTATACCCCACCATTATTTTTAATAGTATTCTGAACCTCATGTGATTCTATTCAATTCTATTTGATTTCAATTTTTGGAACCTTAAATGTGATCCATCCGGGTATTGTCTGCCATCCTGTTTGTTTATTCAAGCATTTACCATTTGCTTTTTCTTATCTTTTAACTCATTTCTAATCATTATTTTTCATTTTTCTTGAGTTACCCAAGAACAGGTAAGGACTTTCTGCTGATTTAAGCTGTCTTATCTGGCATGAGTAACCATTAAGGCCAATGAATTACTGGATTGGATCTGGACTTCTTTTATAGAGAAGCAATTCTTCATACCCATAAGGAAATGATCATCAATTCTTTGTCTTTTTCATTTTAGAACCGGTAACCTTGCACTTTTTTACTACTTCCGGCAATCATCATATCATCAACCGGATGATTGTCACGCCACAACACCTTTTTTTTGATAGTCACAATCTCATTGCCTGTGGGATCTGCATGTAAATCGGCTTGTATTGAGAAATGACACTTGACAGGTTATGGTGCCAGATACTATTTTATACTATTCAACTGCCTTCACCTGAAGTTGAACTAGTATCTTGTGATCTGACCTGTGGAGCACTAACCACTGTGCTATAAACCCACAGGTCATATAAGTATATTCAATATACTTGTTTATAATATTAAAATAATATATAGTCAAATAGAATTAATGGCAATTTTTAATATATTTACAAATAGAAAAACTTGTTACAAAAAATAATTACTATAGGTAATTATATATTATTAGTATAAACTAGATCAAATTAAAAACCAATCTTAACTTTTTCAAATGTATTACTAAACTAATTCAAAACTATACCAGTCTTATTTCTTTCAACACTGAGTAGATAAATATAGTTATTCGGTATCTCTTGATAAGATATATTGTTTTAAATTTTATTTTCAATATTAGTTATTTGGTTTCTATAGGCAAGCTAGTATTAAACTCATTGCACTTACAAATGAGAAATGTTGTTTCTTTCATGATGTATACTTTTAATATACAAATCAAATAAAAAAATAATGTTTACCTATTAAAAAAAAAAAACCAATCCAAATTAAATTATTCAGCTATCAAATTATAGTTAATTAAATTCAAATTTATTAATAGAAATTTATATCAAAGTTTTGTTGCTATATTTAATTTATACTATTAGTAAGAATCACAACAGATCGAATTGGATTAGATTTTAACTAAATTCGATTTGATTTGTTTTTAGATATATAATTTGAATTTGAATTGGATATAATATAGTTTAATTCAATTCAATTCAAATTTGGTTCAAATCTAATTTTACTTAATTTGATTCGTATCCAATTTGATTTGACTATTTTATCAATAGTGATTTTTATTATAACATATTTACTTTAATTTAATTTAAAAAACTGTTAATTGAAAATTTTTTATTTTTAAATATAAATTAAAATTACTAATTTATTCATG